GGACGTAAAAAATTAATTTTTTTTTTTTCCCTTTTTAATTGAGATTAAAACTAACGCTAAAAGATTTTAACTCATTTTTTTTAAAAAAATATTATATTAGATTATCAACGTTTTTCGCCGTTTTCTACGCTGAAGCTTTGAAGCGGGACATAATTTTTTCGCCCACTTTAGGGAAGGGCCCTAAAAGTTGCGACGTCAAGGCCCACTATTATCTTCTTAAGCTCTTCTTTAGACTTTTTTCACTTAGTAAGCATTATTCTTGCTAAGAAAGACGAAAGTAAAGTATTTATTTTTTACAATCTCCATCATCGTCGCTGATTTGAATGCAAGCTAATAGATTTTATTTAATTCGAAAGCGTTTTTCTTTTGCAAATATACTACTTCAGACTTCAAAGAAATCAAGATCTTGAAAATTAAAGAAGAAAAGAAGAAAAAAAAGGCGAAGAAGCGAAAAGTGAAATCTATAATAAACTTAGCTAGCTAGATCTATTATATTTAAAAAGAGAGGGAAAAAAAGGAGAAAGAAAATGTGACGACACGCCAGGTCTCCTGGGCGTATTATCACGTGCGCCAAGTTACTTCTGTCACGGTTCTGGCTGCGTTGTTGGTCGGGTTGTGCTTTGTCGTCCGAGGTCATGTGATGCGGCCGCTCCCGCAGCCGCCCCTCATAGGTATATATATCCTTGGACTTGTATTGTAATTCTTCTCTCCTTCGTCTTTCTTTCACACTACCAAGCGTACGATCAGGATTAGGTAGTACTACAATACTATTCTTCTCCAGCCGTAGCAACATCCTTCCTTGTCCTTCCTTTTCCTTCTCATATTCTCTCACTTCCCTCGTTCCCTTCTTTTGACCCGTGAACCATGCTTCACGAGTCCTTGGCGCTCCCCACCTTCGTGTATGTAAGCTTCAGCTTCCTTCAACGTCTACACTCAGTAGTTGTTGATTCTAAGTCATTACTTTGAGATCTTCCTGAGCTCCATCTGATCCCCCGCGCTCTCGTGAGTCCTTCAGGTAATCGCTTAAGGTCGTCACATTTTGCGTTGAAGCGGGACAGACTTTTTTCGCCCACTTTAAGGAAAGGGCCCCAAAAGTTGCGACGTCAAGGCCCACTATTAAACCGGACTTGCCGAGGGAACCCTTTTATTTATAGGTAATTTCAATGTTAGGTTACGATGGCGGTCACCGAAACAAATCATGTTACCGATGGTATCTGTCTCGTATAAAACTGAGGGTGGGATAAACGGGTCCTCGGCATTGCGTATGAAATGGACCTTCTAGACCGAACTTGGCGAAGGAGCTCTGTTATTTATAATTTCAATGTTAGGTTACGTTGCAGTCATCGAAACAAATCATTTCACCTGATTTCTATTTCGTATTAAAGTAAAACTCAGGGTAGATAAACGGTTCTCGGCATTGCCTATGACATGGACCTTACAGACCGACCTTGCCGAAGGGAATCGGAATAAAAAGCACCGTCCATCTCACAACGGAGCCAGTTTTGAGGTCTCAGTTTCGCGTTTATATTTCGAAGATTTCATTCTCCCCGATTCACCATATCAACAATCGGCTCCTCACGCAAGATGTGGGCCCCCACAGGTGCAGCTGGATTTCTGGCACTTGCAATCTCTATTTCCCCTGCACTATCAGCTCCAGTTGACGACGAATTTGAGATTGCACCGACACCTATGAATTACGTGAATGTCTCTTCCAAGACCATCTATGTCCCTCCAAGCGATTACAACTCTCCGAAAACTCTCTATGGTCGTACCATCCAGCTCCATGATGGAACGTTACTTGCAACGTGGTAAGCCAAAGTCCCTCTGAAACCAGGTGATGTCTATTAAAGGCAATAGACTAACCATTCTTATAGGGAAAACTACTCTCCTGAACCACCACTTGTGTATTTTCCTATCTACAAGAGCAGGGATGCCGGAGTAACCTGGACCCCGTTCTCCAACGTCACCGACCAAGTGAATGGATGGGGTCTGCGATTCCAACCTTTTCTTTACGTCTTGCCCAAGGATATCGGAACGCTCACCGAAGGAACCATCCTTCTCGCCGGAAACTCTGTTCCAACTGATCTCAGTGCTACTAAGATCGATATCTACGCCTCGACAGACGACGGCAGCTCCTGGAGCTTTGTTTCCTCTGTCGCAAGCGGTGGAAAGGCCAAGCCAACCAACGGCGAGACGCCTGTATGGGAGCCGTTCCTGATGGTATACGAAAACCAACTTGTTATATACTACTCTGATCAATCGGACCCAGCTCACGGACAGAAGCTCTGCCATAAAGTTTCCTCGGACGGGGTGGAATGGGGCAGTGCTGTTAACGACGTTGCCTATCCTGAATACTCCAGACGCCCGGGCATGGCGACCATCGCTAAACTTCCGAACGGGCAGTTCATTTTGACCTACGAGAACGGTGGTGGGGAAAGTCCCAGCGGTAAACCTTTCCCGGTCTACTACCGCCTCAGCTCCAGCCCTCTGACTTTCAACTCCGCTCCCGAATATATACTCAAGGCAGGAAGCACCTATCCAACATCTTCCCCGACGGTAGCATGGAGTTCTGCTGGAGGACCCCATGGTACGATTGTGGTGAGTGCAAATAGCAATAAAGAGATCTTCCTCAATAGGAATCTGGGTGCCGAATCCGAGTGGGTGGAATTCGCGACACCTCAGCACGCGGCCTACAGCCGTGAAGTGAGAGTTCTAAACGATCCTACAATGCTCCACATCATCAGTGCTGGAAATCAGGGAGGTGACAACTATGTTACAAACAGTGTATTTAGGCTGCCAAATACGGAGGAAGACCCTTAGAGTTAGAGGGCAAAAAAAAGCTATATTATCCAAGGCAGACCGTCTGAGGCTGTTAGGTGTGAGATTCTGGCTATTAATTGACGTGCCGCAGGGTAGAGTTGAAGCTGTAAGCTGTACTTCTGGTTGTACCCGAACAAAATCAGAATAACCTTCAAGCAACCGGTAAGGGTTTTTGTTGGGCTCTCCGAGGTGGATGGGTCACGAAGCTGACATCGCTGGAATCCGACACTTGACGCGCGGCTCGGCTCATCGCGTGCCACCAAGGCACTAACTACTGAATCGCGGCATGTAAGCGCGCCATTCGACTACGGTAATCGCATCTTCCTTCTAGCACGAATCCTGACAGTCCGTACCTCATCAGGATCTTCAGACTTCACATTCCAACTGCCACACTCTGCAGGACCTCGCCGCTCGCCTGCATCTGCTGAGGAGGGAGAGCGGGTCCGAGGACGTACACAAAAGTCACCTCTAACTGCTAATGCATAAATAAAACTTTTGCTTCGCACCAGAACTCTTTGCATTTTGACAGCTTGAACTCGCTACAACCATGAGCTTTAAAAGGGGAGTAGAAAAATTTAAGAACCGTATAGAAACAAGAGACAGCTTATAGCGATAACACGATTCTACTTTACATGATTATTGAAAAGAGTTTATTAAAGCAGAAATAAAGAAAATTGGCTCTCGCTTGACTTTAAAAGAATTCCTAATAAAAAAAAGGGGAGCGATTTCAGATTTATTTTCTGTATCTAGGTCTATCAAATGAACAGATTTAAGCTTCACGGTTCTGCTGAACTACTTCCCCGAAGATAGAATCAACAAACACCCGTAAATGTATATCTTTTTTCAAAGTGTTGACCCTTGGTTTTGGTGCGAAAGGTGGTTTTATGCATTAGCAGTTACCTAGTACTGTACCCAGTACTGTAATTGGTAATATGGGGGAATCATGCCACCTGAAGAACTTCGATTTAGCATCTCTCTCCTGGCAAGTTCTCGGAGCATAGGAGCCAGTATCGGCCAGTATGGTGA